GGCTACTTGTCTGGATTATCAGCTCTGCACCGTTGCACGGGTCCTTAAAACACATCATGATTTCTCAGAAGGTTGCTCAGCAATCGCTGCGGCGGCGTATGTGCCCCCTTTGGCTACTGTATGTTTAAATTGAGCATCACTAATTTGTTGCAGTTGCCGTCCAGCAGCCCTATGCCATGCGCTGGTCTTTGATGAACTCCGCAACCCCCGCTGCTGTCGCTATGGGACGCTTTATGCAGACCAGGTGAGTAGTGTATTCCTTTGGTTTACCTCTGTCACTTTGCGACAGCCTCTGCTGTGGAGGTTTCATGGGTTGCTACGTCATGGAAATCCGATTTTACCAGGCGTTCGGATGACGAGGATGTACGACAATCAATGGTATATAAATGCTAATTTAGACAACCAGACAAGCTGCCACTACCTCGAACACCTCTGACCCCACCAAGATCCTTGCGCAGCAGCGTTTGAACCGTCCCGTTGCCCCTCACCTTTCCATCTACCGCCCCCAGATCACTTGGATCGGCAGTAGTTTTCACCGTATTACCGGATTCGCTCTTTCTGGTTCTCTGTATCTTTACGCGACTGCATACCTTGCCTCGCCGTTGCTTGGCTGGCATCTGGAGTCGGCCTCTGTGGCCGCTGCTTTCGCCGCCCTTCCCATTGTTGCCAAGGTCCTTCTCAAGAGTGTTATGGCTCTTCCCTTCACCTACCACTGCTTTAACGGAGTCCGTCACTTGGTCTGGGATCTTGGTAGGGGAATCACCAACCAGCAGGTCATCAAGTCTGGTTGGACTGTGGTGGGCCTGAGCGTCCTCAGTGCCCTTGCTCTCGCTTTCCTGTGATTTTCTTGTGTCATACCTATTAAGCTGATCTTGTTTCACTAAAACTGTTTTCTGTGCATTATATCTTATACCAGTCAATCCAGACTGACCTTTGAATTTCATGATTATTCTTTTTCAGACCACCATGGTTCTGGGCTTGGGGACGTAGATCATCTAAAGATTGCAGGCACGAACAGGTGAACAGCAAATAGAGAAGGAATAGTTTAGGAGGACCAATGTTGGATTTAAGATGCCATTGCCCTGTTTTGCGTTCTTTGAAGAATTTCTAACGTTCTATCGCAGCGTATCTAACATGAATGTAGATAAAACACTTGTGTGAATTATAAGTTTGACACATGTTATGTTCAGGCTTGTTTTCAAAATTATGCTTCTCAGTCCCGCTTTTCAGACAGCCTCGTACATTGTTCAATGCAAGGCTCTTTCCGATCTTGAGGTATGCCCCGCCACTTGTTTGTCCGCCAGAACTCATATATATTCTTTCCCGTGAGACCCCGTCTGGTATCATCATTGAACAGGTGCCTTCTGAGAATCTTTGGTTATCTACACCACAATCGTCAGTGTTTCTATGAGCATCAGGGCTGATATTAGATATGCAATGGACGGTCTTGTGCGTGCTGTCTTTCGAGCCATGACACGTCCCGCCCATGAAAAGAGCGTTTGAAACTCACCCACAGCGCCATTTCATACCAAAATTGATATTCTTGTCCGAGAAAAAAAGACCCCAAATTATGCAGGGCTCGGTGGCGGGTTAGGTGGATACGGTGGTGGTGAAGGTGGATCTTGGACGGAGAAATCACTCAATGTGATATCGACAATACCTCTGAGACACTGTTTCGACTGCTTATGTCTCAAAGAAAAGTTGAAAATGGTGTCGGTGTCCCGACATACCATGTTACATGAGGTAGCCGACATTATCAGCACAAGTTGTTTATCAACTGGCTCGAAGATGCTCTAGAGATACGAGAAGATAAGGAAGCCCGCTGTTGTGTGAGAGGCGAAAATGTCTTCACTCCTTTCACAAGAGATCTATTCAAGTAAGTGTTTGAATACTTTGATGTTCGTTTCCTGAACCGTAAAGGAATTTCTCCCAATACCCGGCTATCACTCACCGTTTAATAGCCCCAGCTCTTCAGGCCAATTTCCGACTGGCGGCTTCTTCTAAGCAAACTGTACACCGCCATCCTGCTTTAAACGTCCGAGCAACGGGAAATGGCCGCGTGGATCTGACACTTTCGACACTCTCACAATGGTCTTCGCAAATGGATTCAGATCTTTCGTCGGCTGCTCCTGCAAGGGCCCGGCGGAAGACTAATGTATAAGACGTTAGACAGTGTACAAAACACCGATGGCCTCCGGCCTTTGCTGCGGGTTGGTTCTTGGTAACGGCAAACTTGACCAAACAGGTTCGGCGGCATTGTATTGTCTGGAAACAGACCGTTCTTTCGGCTAGCTTGATTACTCCAAGCTGCCTGTCCAGTCTTGGTTGGTAATGCCTGAGAATAGATGCAAGATTGGTCTTTGGCGTACTTCGATAGATGCGTTGTTAAATGCATGTTCTCGTTGGCCAACCATAGGATCATCTACTTACAGAGCAGCCAACTGGAGATGCTGGCTACGAGTCCTGATATATGAAGGTCCAAAGAGGTAAAAGCACCCTTTCTGATTATATTGGTAACCTCAATGAGGGCTATGGATACCAACCACGACACCGATTCCCTCAATGAGCTCAGGTACGTTTGACAGTACACGTATAGAGCATACTTGTATTTCCAGCTAACCTTTCCAAACTCTTTGGTTTAAAGTAAGAGGCAAGATACTGGCGGCGCCGAATGTAAAACGAACTCCTAGGTTTCTAGATCTTAAGTTCTCTCGAATCAAATGTCTAACGGTAATTACGCAACAAGTCTTTTGTCTAACGCTACCGATGTCCCATCGCCATCGACTTTATTTATTTGTTATTATTATTTTTGAGGAGCGAAGGGGGTTTCTGGTATTACCAATCCATGTAATAATTTGATCGGCCTGGTGCCCCTAGCGACGATGTCCGAGGATGCAGTTTAAGAAAGCAAACAACGAAGAAGCCTACTAGCAGGTACGGAAACAGTCCCTCACGCAACACAGGCCCCATAATATAGGCAGAACCCCACAGCATGCAACACGTGGACGATCTCCAGGTTGTCGTCGTCGCACTAAGCATAGGAAAGACACGCAATTCTCCAATAATGTTCCATACTCCAGACTTTGAGTGCCTATTATTTCCTATATTCGCAGAACATATCGCGCGGCAAGCGCTACCACACCGGTATTTCTCCGATATATTAAATAACTGTCCACAGATGAAGGGGCCTCGATAGGTTATGCCTTCAAGTTAGGATGAAGCCTACTCCGCTTTGTCCACGGCATATTGTCCTTGTACTGCATCGACGTGGAGTATTGTTCCTTACCTGGAGCAGGAAGTCGTTAGAAGGCACCCTGGCCCGGTAAATTAAAGGTCTGAACGACAGATTTCACAAGCAATATTCTCATCGCAGAAATCCATCGGCAAGTTACTGTTTTAGGCTCGCCTATCTCGCGCTCTTTTTGTCTGTTATGCACTATTCCTCTCAATGTTTTCGTCCAGCTCACCCAGTGAACTAGAACATGTTCTTGGCATCTTTGAATAAATTTGGACTTCTTAGAAGCTATGACAGCTCAGTCGACTTATGTAAACGAGAGAGGCGCCAGCCATGGGCCCCTGACTCGGTGTCACCTTAATACAGCCAGGTCGGGAGAATACACCCAATGCTTACCGCCAATTACGCGTACACGGGGATTATAGCCCAAAAATGCTCTACACAACAGCAAAATGATCATACATCTGATAGGGAAAGCGATATAGCTAAGCTGCTGCTGATGACCATCCGCCTCCTTACTGCTACTGCCGGGTTTCAAGGAAAGGAGAGAAGCGTCGCTAGGGACTTTACGTGAAGCTGGACCGTTGAGTATTCCTTGTCTTACAAAGGGATAACACCCATCGGAAGGTGGCCAACAAGCTAGCATCACGGTTCGAGCATTTTGTGAAACCCGTCAGTAGCTGCCCATGCGGCTTGAGTGAAGCCACCAGGTAAGTCTGGGTGGAATAAAAGACACATCATCGTTGATTTTGTGTAAGCCGCAACAGGCCTTTTTTTTTTTTTCTACAAGACTAAACAAGGGGAGTTTCCTCAACCTCCCTTTGAACTCCACGTAAGTTAATGGATTTCACAGTTTGAAATGCCGTTCGGGCAGGGCATTCGTTATTTGGTAGTAGGTACCTGATAGGCTTGCAATGACATTCCTCATATCATCCCTTATACTTCATCATGATATATAAGAAATGATACTTTTGCTATTGTAGACCTTTACACAGGGCTAAAATGGTCCGTGTTGCCTTTCAATGGCCTGCCATCGGATTGTTTACTGGTTGGAATCTCCCAAGATTGATTTGGGGGGAACTTTCCTCTGGTACTAGATCAGCAAACTTGACTCAGCCCGACGACTGAAGGGAAAGTCTAGGCCCTCATTGTGATACAAAATTCAATAGGCCTTCCGTCAAGGAATGAATAGGATTTGCTGTTCTTTCTACAATTGTTTATACTGTATAGACGGAATACATCGGCCGGGTTGCGCTATCCCAAAAGGGACTAGCGTCACATCTCCGAAATCTTTCCAACCCATCATTCGAATTCCATCGCGGCCGCTGTGAAAAGCCCGGACAGGTGAATTGCCTCCGTTTCTCCCACATCTGCGGATTTCAGCTACTCGACCTACACAATGGCTTCAATGCTACCAACTCGGGCGGCCAGGACCATCGCCTGTTCCGCATGCCGCACGATCGTTTGTCCTAGCACGATTGGATCCGCCTCCCTCCTCCGTCGTGGTCTGTCGACATCCACCGAGCAGACACCGGTCGATTATGCAGACAAGCCTCGATGGTCCTATACCCCTCCCCTTGCACAGGCACCCTTCAGCCTGCGATTGAATACCAAGAGACGTGAATACCCTGTCAACGCCGATCCGAAGGTCCTTGACGAATTCTACATCCGCATGCTAGGCAATGATGGTGACAAGCTCCTTTCGGACGAAACCAAATGGCTGGCTGTGACGCACAAGAGTTTCGACCAGGGTCGAAGAGGATTCAACGATCGTCTAGCTTTCTTAGGTGTGTAGGAGTCTGAGGATGCGCTTCTGCAATTCGCGAGATGCACAGGGCTAACCGGCAATTGCACTTTAGGACGACGGATCGTTGAGTTACAGGCTTCTTTGGCCATGGTGCAGAGCCCCGGAAGTGCGGCATCCACTGCTACCCCCGATGCGTTTGACCGTGTGCCCTTCACGCACCCGGCATTGGATGGCCTTGAGAACCTCACCCGTAACAAAAAATTCTTGGTAGGCAAAGCGCAGATTGCGGAGGTTGCGCAGAAGTATGAGCTGCAGAAGGTCCTGAGATGGAGTCCTCGGAAGGTAAGATGATGGAACATCCTTCTTTTCTATGGTTTTGCGGCATACTGCTTTCACTGCAAATGGCTATACTGTATCTTGCTAACAATTACCGATGCTCAGCCTAACAACCTTGCGAGCTCCGGAATCGAGCTTGTCCTTGCCCACACGATGTATGCGATTGTCGGTGCCATTTCCCTGGAGAAAGGTGGTCTCGTTGCCAACAAGGTGACACGCGAGCGGATATTAGAACCTTTGGGATTCAAGGCTTAAGTCGGGATATCATTGTTGGGAAATGGCCGCAGGAGCATTTCGAGGCGTTATCTCCTTTTCGCTTTCTTGTCTTTTTTTATATCTTGGATGTTCTCTGTATGTGTTGGGGGTTCTGGTCATCCACCATATATGTACTTTTACTACGACCATGTCTTATATTGATTTTCGAATACCACCCGGAAGGATCCTCTCCTCTGACGAGCCCTCTCTTGGGGAACGTGTTAAGAGAACGCACAAAACACTATGAGAATAGAATTGTTTATTAATGATAGGTATGTTCGGTTCCTCTGACACCGCCCGAGTAACAGAGTAAAATACGCGGCCAGCTCTTATGGAACCCTCTTTACGATGCATAGTCTTCGCGCCGCTGTATCGCAAGTCAGCAATGAAAAACTGGGACCATCGTACAGAATGTACGACAACACCAGAAATCACAGAACGTAATTTGTACTGCCTTGCACTGTCTATTGGGAGCGTTGGGATAAAAGAAGAAAAAAAAGTGAGAAGAGGGAAAGAAATTGCGGAAGAAATACTCTAGTGCGAAAAGTACCCTAGCCTGATCAGGAATGGTATGAATCCAGCCCTCTGAGCCCGCTAAAGCCAGATAGGCTTGGCTTTCTCTTCTATGATATACCACCGAGCTAGTATGCAGACTCTGCTTGCTACACATTTCACACTTTCGTGGATGTCTTAATAAAGAAGATTGCTCTGCATTCTATTATCTACGAGAAGCTTAGAGAAAACTCGGCTTGAGGATCGACAGGCAGCCGGAGTCTGCTCAGACTACGTGTAACCATATTGCGCTTACAGATCCGCATACTGAGTGAGCTCAAAGACCTGAGGGTGACCGATGTTTGTGAGCCTTCAACCGGATGGCCGAGCAGAGTATGGCCCAGCAATTGAATTGGCCAACTTACCGCGTGCTTCAGGAAGAGCTTGTACAGGCGCCAGCTCGACGCAGATGGGAAGATTATAGGAAGATTCGTATTCGATTCAAGGCTTTCCTTATAGACTATGGGGTTCATAAAACCGTTTATGGGCTATATCCCGCGATTGTACTCCATACAAGCAACTCTTTCACGCAAGGGTGGTCTGAATTAATAAATGGAACAACGAGAAGGTTGATGGGACGACTCAAGATATTGTCTGTTGGAACTCTCGATCTCATTTATAGACTAATTCTCAGACTCATCATAGTAATTGGAATGATTGCCATTGCCCCAGTCCGGTCAAGTTTACTGTAGAGTGAAGTATACGGTTTGTATGGTGGGCGTCTTCATCGCAAGTTCATATACTATTTCTTGGTAGCAGGCATTAAGGATTCGAAACGGGCGGTCAGGGGGGCGGCGGGTGATATATTGCGTGGCAGTACTCAATATAGTGGAACGGAATTGAGCTGAATGTGTAAAGGAGATAGAGAGCCTCGTCCTATACACTGACGTTCCCAGGCCAGTCTTTCATTCCATATTTTTTCCTGTGAGTTTCTCCCCTGGTAGTACTTAATTTGAAATTATGTTGTGGTCCATTCTTGGATTGATACTGATTGTGAGGTAACCCATTCCATCGCAGAATGTCCAGCTAGTGTTTCGTTGGCCTCTTACCGTTGAACTAAGTCAGGAGCCTCCCGCCGATTCCTTGCTGCCCTATTGACATCCACCCTTACTTTCACGACTTCCACACGATCTCCCAATCTCCGCGATGGCGTCGGCTATCTTCTTTTTAGATTTGAAGGGCAAGGTAGGTAGATCCTTGGCGATATCTCTTTTCAATGACCGCTATACCCACCATGAATTCTTGCGCTCACCGTCAAATAGACCCTTCTAGCCCGAAACTACCGCGGAGACATTCCCATGTCCGCGGTTGAGAAATTTCCTATCCTCCTCAGTGACGCAGAAGAAGAAAGCTCCGCCGTACCGCCATGCTTCTCTCATGAAGGAATCAATGTATGTTTTGCCCGCAATCGCATTGGTTTTTGCACATGCTCCCCGCCCGTCCCCGCAGCCCGCTTTCCTTCTCTTCATCCCCTATAACTTGCCGCCTCTACTGCGACACCTTATCTTGGGACTAGGTAGCCATTAGCCTTTTCTCCTCAACTTACTGATAAACCGTGGTGTATTTAGTATCTCTATATCCGCCACAGCAATCTTTACATCCTCGCGTTGACAAAGAAGAACACTAATGCAACCGAAATCCTCCTCTTCCTCCACAAAATTGTGGAGGTATTCACGGAGTACTTCAAAGTCTTGGAGGAAGAGAGTATTCGCGACAATTTCGTCATCATCTATGAGTTGCTCGATGAGATGATGGACTTCGGATACCCACAAACTACGGAGAGCAAGATATTGCAAGAGTAAGACGACAACTGTGGCAGAACATGACTAAAGGCAATGTTGCTCATATGGTATCAGGTACATCACACAAGAGTCACATAAGCTTGAAGTTCAAGCACGTCCTCCTATTGCCGTCACTAATGCGGTCTCCTGGCGAAGTGAAGGCATTCGCTACCGGAAGAACGAAGTATTCCTTGATGTTGTCGAATCTCTGAATCTCCTCGTATCTGCGTCTGGGAACGTCCTGCGATCTGAGATTCTGGGTGCTATCAAGATGAAGTGTTACCTAAGTGGTATGCCAGAACTTCGTTTGGGTCTGAATGACAAGGTCATGTTCGAGACGACGGGCCGTGCCACAAGAGGCAAGGCTGTCGAGATGGAGGATGTCAAATTCCACCAATGTGTTCGACTTTCGAGATTTGAGAACGATCGAACGATCAGTTTTATCCCCCCGGATGGAGAGTTTGAGCTTATGAGCTATCGTCTAAACACACAAGTGAAGCCCCTTATCTGGGTCGAATGTCTTGTGGAGTCGCACTCAGGCTCTCGGATGGAGTATATGTTGAAGGTAGGCGAGCTGGCAGCATTGAACACTTGGGTCGACTATGAACTAATCTTCCTATTCTCTGTAGGCCAAAGCACAGTTCAAGCGCCGCAGCACGGCCAATAATGTGGAGATCCTCGTGCCTGTGCCGGAGGATGCAGACTCACCGCGCTTCCGAACGAACATTGGAACGGTTCACTATGCGCCAGAAAAGTCCGCTATTATCTGGAAAATCAAGCAGTTCGGTGGTGGAAAGGAGTTCCTGATGCGCGCTGAGCTTGGTCTCCCATCCGTCAAGGGAGATGATGAGCATGGAGGTGGTATGACTGGAGGTTTCGGAGGCAGCATGGGCGGCACTGGAGGCGGCAAGGCCAAACGGCCCATTAACGTCAAATTCGAAATTCCTTACTTCACTACAAGTGGTATTCAAGTACGGTACTTGAAGATTACTGAACCTAAGGTATGTTTCTTCACTCTCCTTATGGCGTGCTATGCTTCGTCTTATATACCAACGATGAGTCCACGACTAATAGTCATGTCACAGCTCCAATACCCCTCCCTACCCTGGGTCCGTTATATTACGCAGTCAGGCGACATTGCGGTCCGTATGCCAGATGTACAATGATTTAAAGCGTTTAATAGTGTCAATAGAGTTTCTTCCCCTTTCAGTTTCTAGTAAAATGCATCTATCCCCTGAACTGCAGATTAACCCAAGGCAGTCATGGATCGGTAGGGGTGTAGAATCACCACAGTGTGCTGGTCTTGTCCTGACATATCTGTAGTCTTGACCGTGGTCAAAGTTGAGTATGCTGCATACATTTTGTAATCCTTCGACAATTCAAGTCACTAAAATTGCATTGACTCGACTGTAACAAAATAGGAAACCACAAGTTTCAGCCTGTCATGTTTGCCCAAAATCTTTCCATCTAGTACACCACAACCGTACTCCGTACTCTGGATAGTCGGTGATGGCTCAGTTTTAACCCTGGCTTATGTAGTCAAAATTTCGTGTTCTAAATATAGAAACAAGGTGCTTTGGTCTAGTGGTAGGACGTTACGTTGTGGCCGTGCCAGCCCCGGTTCGATTCCGGGAAGCACCACTTAAATTTTCTCTTTTTGAGCAAACTTTTTGTTAAGCCCCTTATTTACTCTCGGCCGTTGAGCCCTTCTGAAACAGGACCCTCCCCGTACCTATGACCATGGTTCTAATTTTGTGGCTCCATATGTCTTTGAATTTTATCTTTGAATGACTAAGCGGAGCTAAAGAATTCCTCTTCAACTGCAATGATCGACATGATCTTGTATACGTACGCCATGTCAAAATAAAGGGCCAAGAAATCTCCATTTTGAAACATTGGTACCTTGGTATATGGGGTAGTTGCGTTGCTATATATCTTGGCGACCGGAGCTGTCCACGTAATGAACTGTATGGCAGCTAAGATATTTTAGAAGCCAAGATTTGCTTGGGCATGTGTGTTTAGCTTTAGGTTGTTTCTTATTTCATGCATCCTTGACAAAAGCATTGACAGGAGAGAAAAGTTATTTCATGATGTCGGATTTACGGAGGTAAAACGGTTTCTACTGTCTATAGATTGATAAGATTGATCACGAGAACGGAAAAACATCCGCCTATTATGTGTGAGACGGAGAGGCATTGGCCACTGAGAGAGGAGATGATTTTGAATCTTAAGTTAATCTCTTTGGGTACCTCAGTAGACCCTGAAATTAGAAGATGACAATTAGAGAGGAATTATTGGCTTTTGCTGTAGTGTTATTTATGACAAAATCCAGCCATTGCAAGGCGTAAGGAATAGTAATGGAGCCCTCATCATAGGGCGGTGGAGTCCAGGACGCCGCAGTTCGGAGGCGGAGAGTCGTCAGCACATATCGGGATTGTATCTGCCGGACCGGATTACAATGGTTGGCGTTGAAGCACACGACAGGATGGGAGGAACGTCATTATAGTTAGAAAGTGATCGATTTCTCTCATTTCCTTCTTCTCGGGCCAAACTATGGGCACGCCACACCACGGTTACAAAAAATATAGTGTCCTGGCTTTGGCGGTCTTTGTTGACCTACACTATTTAACTGCCACTATTAACACTTAGTACTGAATTGGACTTACGTACCCGGCCTGATGCCGCTGACGCACCCCCTGCGGTGGAGGGCCCATCCATCACCAACGCCCGGATCCCCATCCAACCTCCGTTGTTCCATAGGTAGGTTTCGAGTAGGGCGTTCCGGCTTTGTTCTGCCTTTTCGACCTCAGCTGCGTGTTCTGCGCACGTCGGCCACTTCGTTTTCCTCGCGCCATAAGAACTCCGCCAGATTCCTCATCCCTTTCAACTCCGTCAATGCTTCTCGCGTCCCACTCCCTTCCTTAACCACCACGTCTACTATTAACACACCCCTACATCTGATGGCAACGCAAACCAGAAGCCATGGTGGCCACGGGGGCCACCATCACCATCATCACCACCACGGCGGCAATGTGTACCTGACTTCTACAAACAAAAACGACGCCGGCGTTCGGATTACGCGGATCGGCCTGGTCGCCAATCTTGCGATGGCAATTGGCAAATTTATCGGAGGTTACGTCTTCCACTCGCAAGCTTTGATCGCCGACGCCTACCACGCCCTTACAGATCTCGTCTCGGACATCCTCACGCTGGGAACAGTCGCTTGGTCGCTCAAGCCCCCGTCCGAAAGGTTCCCAAACGGCTACGGAAAGATTGAGAGCATTGGCGCGTTGGGCGTGAGTGGGCTATTGCTCTGCGGAGGCGTGTTTATGGGCCTGAATTCCGGTCAAGTTCTATTAGACCAGTTCTACCCCCAGGCGGCGGAGGCGATCTCTCACTTGGGACATGGCCATTCGCATAGTCACGGAATCGACGTTCTTGGCCCCAGCATTCATGCCGCGTGGCTGGCTGCTGGGTCCATTGTGGTAAAGGAATGGCTGTACCACGCAAGTGAGTACCTTGAGGTTGCCCTTCAATCTTATCCGAGAGCTAACGGTTATGGTGTAATGTAACAGCCATGAAAGTCGCCAATGAGCGCAAGTCGTCTGTTTTAGCCTCGAACGCTATCCACCACCGCATCGATTCCCTCACCAGCATTGTCGCTCTATTCACCATTGGCGGCACGTACTTGTTCAAAGACGCTTCCTGGCTGGATCCTGTGGGTGGACTCCTTATCTCGTTGATGGTCATCAAAGCCGGATGGGGAAATACATGCTCGTCACTTCTGGAGCTGGCCGATACTGCCGTGGACGATGAGATCAAGGAATCGGTGCAGAAGGCCGCTTCAAAGGCGCTCGCGAAATTGCAGGATAACAATGCGATTAAGATCCGCGATGTTCAGGGCATGAAATCTGGCCAGAACTACCTCATGGATATTGAATTGGCAGTGCCGGGCGCATGGCCCATCAATCGATCCCGGGAGATTGAGGAAACTGTCAGAACAGCCATCGGAGCGGGCGTCCGCGGCGTTAAGCGAGTCAAAGTGCGATTCATCCCCCTCGAGCATGAGGAACTGAATTTCTCCGAAGAGTTCATCCCTGCCGAAGTTGCATCCCAAGCCAACCCGGAACCGGAGGATGGTGACACGGACTGTGAAGCGCACGGGCATGATCATGGGCATGATGTGCACGAACATGATGTTCGCAAGAGGCGTTAAGGAGACATCTCTATTTTTTGCTTTATATGATTTTGCACTTTTTGCTTTGTATCGAGCCTATTGAAGCTCTTGCTGTGTGTTTGCATAGTTCGTGTCCCGTTTTGCACATCGGACCTCGAAGGATCATGTGATACCCCATGAATACACCATTGGAGATGATATCTCCATATCCTGTTTATCTGCTGGTGGAGATTGTGGCTGGTGAGAATTAGATCACACAGAGGATGGGTCTAGCTGGCAGGTGTGAAGAAACGATTGGATATAGGGAAGAAAAGAAATCGATAGAGGAGGACGTCAGCCATGGCTGGCAAACCATGTACAGTATGTACATATACTGGCTGAATAGAATCTACAGCATATACTGCGGGCTTCTTGTCTACCATTCAGATCTCCTCGGAGATGTTAATCGAAGTAGCTTTCGGTATTCGCGTGGGCAAATCAGTGGAAGTAACGCCCATCGATCCTTCCGTCTACTGTATATCCCGCCACTGCATCAGGGTACGCGGGGCAAATCCCATTGGACGGGTGTTTCAAGCATGTTCAGACATCACCATGTGACCAATGTGATGACTACTCCTTATCTCATGCTTATATCACTGTTGGATTGTGTATTACATACAAGTTCTTCCTGACGTCGCAAGATACACCCTCTTGTGGCGTACTCTAGGCCTATCACGCTGACCCCATCATCAACCCCATTTGCAGTGGCAAGGACAGCAGAAGTACATATTACGTGGACAACAGGTCATAAGCTTCTATTTCAAAATCTGATATAGCTCGAGAATAGGTTTCCAAACCTGGATATTGCGGTGACGGTTCCATTGCAGACCGACTTTACAAAATATATGCGATAAGCCAATCAACTCAACAAGAGCTGAAAACAATATGTTGAAAGTTAAATTTTCCATGAAAATTTTGAAATAAAGAACAACAAACAACAACAATATCCCTGATTCCTTATCAAACTGGCTAATTTTTTTTT